TTTATTTTTCACACCCCAACGGTTGAATATTAAGGGCTAATGTTTGGTAAAATTGTAACTGATATTGATAGCAACTAAACTGTAAAAAATGGTCATGATCGGCGCGGGGGCAGATCGCCCCTCCTTATCTGGCTACGGCCTTATTGCTGATTTAAAATGCATAATGGTAAAATATAGAATAATTCAATATTTTTTCTACAATAGAATTTAATTTTACATATAAATTGTATTGCAGAACTTTTTGATAATGATGTTAATATAAATAAAGATTCATTTGATCACTATTTTCCGTTTATCTTTCAATAGTTAATGATATGATATTTAGAAAGAAAATTATGATATGATAAGGTAATTTACTTACGGTAATTTCGTCGATAATTTCTAACAGTTTGTTGGTTAATACAGTTATGTCTTTTTGAAGTTGTGTATCAAACATAATAGTTAATTTTTGTTTTTCCTTTAATTGCTCCTCAACTGCTAATCGTAATGTAGTGAATTGTATGTTTACAGCCTGTAACAAAAGTCACGTTACATATATATATAGTGGAACTTCCGTAAAAATAACTTGTCGGGACCGACCGACCTCCGTAAAAGTCAGCTCCGCCCCTATCCCCACTTTTTCAATAGCGCAGACGAAATGCAGATCACGTGACACCACGACACAATAAAAATATAACCTTGATTTATTGTATGCTGATAATCATAGTTGATAGCGATTCATTTTAAAAAAAGCAATACATTTTTGTGCAATACATTGTACACAGCGCATTATACGTAAACACAATCTACAATGACATCCAAAGAGGTATGTATATATATTCTATGATCATATAAAATGTGAATTATTAGTTCCAGCAAACACATTACATATATGTATAACTGTAATCATGCAACAACATCAAATTTATTTAATGTTTGTATTAAAAACTGAGAGTCTCTGTCACATTCAGACTCTAAACTTCCATGGAATGGAAAAATATTCTTCCAAGCATTTCTTATATTATTGCTTGTCAATTCATTCCATGCATTACTTATTGAGGAACACTGTAACAAATTGAATGATTTTAATTGCTTTTCAACTTCTTCAAAAGTGTCTTT